ACAGGGTTCCCAGCAACCTTACCAGGTGAGTAAAGAAGGTCACTTCCCTGGCAAGTACAAGGAACCTCAGGATATTTTGGGGAACCTAAAGAGAAGAAATGAATCCACCCAAATCTGTAGGTATTGCAGGCAGAGTCTGACAAGTCCTTGGCTTGGCTTTCCTGGTCCCAAGAAGCATTTAAAGTCCAATCTGTGATTCCTTATTAAAAGATCTAGCAAACCAAATTTAACAGGAGCCTATACAGCAAGAATAAGTATATAATTTGGCCAAGTTTATTGAAACTAGGCTTATTTTTCCAAGCAATTAGTCTTAATTTGGCTATGTATGGTAAAAATGAGGGTGATTTTAAAGAGAAAAAATTATGTTTTAATAGAAACTACAATACACATTCAAGAATATTAATTCTAGCTCTGTTAATTATCTGTGAGGGTTTTTCTCCCCCTGTTTGTTTGCTTGTTTTGGTGAGGAAGACCGGCCCTGAGCTAACATCTATGCCAATCTACCTCTCTTTTGTATGTGGATGCCACCATAGCATGGCTTGATGAACAGTGTGTAGGTTCATGCCTGGGATCCCAAACTTCAAACTCCAGGCCACCAAAGCAGAGAATGCAAACCCAACCACTATGTTACCTGACTGGCCCCAGAGGTTTTTGTTTTCTATCTGTAAACTGGACTGCATCCTGAGTTCTTCCAGTCTCCTGAAATATCTGACTACAAACCTCCAAACTAATGCTTTCAATTTTTTTCCCATTGTTTTCACTTGGAATCATTGAAAACTGGAAACACCCTTTCCCCTGAAGCCCTGCAAACTGAAGCTGGACAACTTAATAGAAACTTAAGAGAGATTCATGCCTCTTTCTGTATAAGCCACTAAAAAGATACCTGAACATGTGTTGACATCATCAGAGACATTTTAAACTGCAAAAGATGCTTTGACCTTAACATCTAGAAATCTTCTTGAGTGGCTGTACCCTGGCCTAAGAAACTGGTTTATAATTTGCTCAAAATGTTAACCTTGTTTTTCTTTTCTTTCTCTAGAAATGCTTCTTATTGACTACCTGGTAAGGTGCTTACACAATATAGTCCTAACATTGGTCGAAATTTCCTCTTGTTCCAGGAGACCCCAAGGGAACTGAAATTAAGGAACTAGACACTGTCAGATATTACTCTACATCACCTATGTCTTGGAGACTGGGTCTTATTAAAGTCCTGCAGAAACAAGCATCCAGAGGACCAACTCCACCCCTCCCAAACCAGGCCCTATGGACTACTGCTGGTAACCCACTCTTCAGCTCATCTACCAGAATGCCACAAGAAATGGGAATCACACCCTAGAAGAACATTGTAGCCACGATCATCATGATCTTGGCAGGTTCCATACTTCAGACACTGACTTCTCACTACCTAAATCTTATTCTTGTGAATCTCTAACCAACTTAAAGTTACTTTTCAGGAAGCCATGAAAGAGATGTTCACCTCTGAGTAGGATTCTTACGTCCTAGACACACTTGTTTTGATAATTGCTGTCTTTGTCATACTTTTCCATTTTTTATAAATCAGCTGTGCACTCAGCAGACCACTATGAGGGTTGAACCATTTTCTTTTCAAGTACCAGATAAGTAACTCTACAGCCTATTACTAATTTTTTAGAACTACTCCTCTAACATTCATGATATCATTAAGATAACGGCTTCATCTTCTCCCTGAAAAACTTGACTGGCATACCAAATGATAACTGTAATCTGTCCCAGCAACAAACATAAGCTATAGAGTGAGGCTACTTCATCCTCACTCCCTCATACTCCATATGTTTATATCCACGGTGACACTTTGTTTTCCTTTCAAATATTTCCATAATTTCAAAGGAAAGTTTCCTTGAGCGCTCTAAAGAAGTAACGGACTTATAGTTAAGTAACACAAAAGTTCAGATGCTTACACCAGGAATCCGGACAGTATGTACCTCACCTTATTGTATTTTTTTGTGGGTTTGATCATCGGTGTTGGTCCTACAATTGCCTGGTTACTTGGCTCATACAGTGTTATTGCCTTTTGTGGTACCTGACTATGCCTACATTTATATATAGCTTAGGAGAAACCCAGCATTAGACAAGTTTTCTTAACCTTTTTTCTAGAACTAAGACGTCTATGCTGGGTGGTGCTACTAATTCTTTGCTGGCTTCCAAGAGGTTGACGCCTTATATTTCTTTGGGCAAACTTTGCTGCCTTGGTGGGGTGTTGCATCCCACAAGCACATGATAAGGAATCTCTCTCACACTTTGGGGGTACTCATCAATGAAATGGCACAGGCAATAGCAGCCAAAAAGAGAGCATTAGGTTTATTGGCAAAGGTTGTCCTGGACAATCAGATAGCTTTAGATTATATCCTAGCTAAACAAGGAGGAGTTTGTGCAATAGCTAACTCATCATGTTGTGTGTACATCAACAGCTCATCAGAGGTTGAAATTCACGTAGACAAAATCAGAGAGCAAACTACATGGCTACAGCAGGTATCTCCAGAAGAACTGGGTCCAGACTGGTTTTCAGGACTGTTTTCTTGGATTCCCCAAGAGATTAGATCTATTTTTTCAGGGACTATTAAAATTTTGCTTGTCCATACTTCTTATCCTTCTGGTTGGATAATTGATTGAAAAATGTGCCTTTTGATGTCATACCAAAGCTGTTGAATAAGTGCAAAAATTCTAATAATGCAAAATGTCAACCTGAAGCTGGAAACGAGAATATTTTGAAATAGGTGCTAAACAGTTCCATTTTTCTAAGCCAGATCTACACCCCAATTCAGCAGGAAGTAGCTAGATTGGTCATCACTCTCAACCCCTCAAGAATGAAGAATGACCAAAGAACATGAGGGATCGAAACCTGTAAACAGTTAGCTATTAATGATTAAGTAGCTACTAACTAAAGTTCTTTTTTTTTTTTTTGCAGTTACTAACTATAGCTTTTAGTTCTTCATCTACCCATCGTTAACTGTGTTGCTTAGGCAATATATTAACCAGCCCTCATTTGGTTCCTATAGATAATGTCTCCCTAGCACCTGGGTCATCATGGCAGTGGATGTTTGAGCTGTTTTTCAAGAATTAGGATCCCCCCTGTCCAATTCAGGCCAATTGAGACCACCAACCCATCAACTGGGCATATGCAGGTGCTTGTTAAGTGACATTTTTGATGTCAAGAAGCTAAAAGCTCCACTCTCAGATCATAGGAACATCAAAATTTTGTGAACATACGTTTTATGAAGAGCCATGAAGCTGGACTACACTTGTTCTTATCATCACTTACCTCACTACTCCTTACATACAATCATCTGCTCCCACACTTCAGACAATCTTGTCCCCTACCCCATACATATCCCCAAGTCCTCGTTTTCAGGGAGGCAGATCTGAGATTGATTCCCCACCTCCTTTCTTGGCTGCCTTGTGATTAAACCCTTATTCTTTGGAAAATCTTAACCTCAGTGATTGGCATAATCACGTGGCAGGCAAAATGAACCTAGTTTGGTAACATTGTGTTCTCTCAAAATCTTTAAATGCAAGTTGCAGCTGATAACCACCAAGAAAATGATCTCCCTAAGACTGGAATGTCAGAGAAGGAACAAAGAAAATGATCAACTTAAGTACTGTGAACCTGAAGACATGACCTATAAGTATCACAGGAATTAAGCAAAAACATCATGACCTGCAGATATCACACAGAAGAACAGAAAAAAGCTTTGAGAACTACAGAGCAGTGGCTGATGGTGCTATTAATGCCTTAATTTTTTTTTTCACATCTCTCAGTCAGGCCAAGAGTTTTAATAAAATGGAGAGAATTCATAAAATAAAGAAGTAACAAGCCCAAAATGCCCCTCATGACAACAAATTAAGATTTAATTACAGTTTCAGGCCTCTGAGAAATGTGACCTTTAAACAGCCAATCTGAAATTTCCTGAGCACAAGTAAGGTAAACTGCAAGATACAACTCATGACAGTTCCCTTTCTCCCCAAAAGATGTTCTGGTCCAAAATAACACTTTCTTTTCTCTTGCTAATCGTGTCCTTACCCCACCCTCTTTCCTATAAAAACTTTCCATTTTGTGTGCCTCCTAATAACTCCTTTCTAGTAGCTGGATAAGATGCTGCTTGATTCATGAAGTGCTTAAGAAATCCAATTACATCTTCAAATTTACGCAGTTGAATGTTGCTTTTTAACAAATCATATATGAATTATATCTCAATAAAGCTGCAAATAAAGAAATTTTCAGTAGATGATTTAGTGCTAATTATTATTATTATTACTATTATTAATATTATCATCATCCCATATTTTCTCTTCAATTCTTCCCTAGCACATTGTGCATGTACCAGATAGGAATTTTGTGATATCAGAGTGTAAGTATTTATTCAATTCTCCCTTACTTGCTGAACTTTAAGAGTTCTTGTCTGACACATTACTGTATGCCTAGGAGCACAGAAAAGGTCCTCACAAATCTTATCTGAATGAGTCAATAAACCAATACAAATAAACCTCTATATGAGCTTACCGCTGGTTTACTCTTCTGGTCTCCATCACTTTGCCCCTACTTCCAGTAACTTACTTTCAGTGTGAATGTATGGTATGATTAGAACTGAAGTAGAATGTCACTTATGAAAAGGGAAGGATGGCACCATATTTCACTCGCTTTAATTTAACTCAGTATTGTTTTTGTTAACTCTTTTAATCAAAATTCAGTACTAAACAAGCAAAATGCTTTCTCTTCTTTTCAAAGAAAAATCAAAAAGCATTGCATTTTTGAGTCTCACCAATTAGATTTTCTGAAAGAACTGTATAACAGGTAGCAGGTTTATTTTAGATTGTTTACTAAGATTCTGTAGATCAAAGTCCAATGCTGACTTTGAAGTTCTGCTGAGGAAAAGAAATTTTACAAAGTACATTATTAACAGATTTAATTGTTAACTTCTGGAAGAACCTCAGTAAAATATTTCTCTCTATAACTAATGAGAATAGCTACTAACCTGACCCTAAAACACTGTGGAGGAACAGTGTCCATGGCCCTGCTTTGGAGGGGATACGGGGCCAATTGAGGAGAGAGTGTGGCCATCACATACTTAGTGTGGAAGGAAACATTTTCTCCCCTTGAACTTTTCTAGATACAGTCATTTTGCCACATCTTGGGGATCACCTGCTCAGCCTCTATGGCCTTTCAGGACCTCCTGGATCAAGTTGGAGGTCTGGGGAGATTCCAGATCCTTCAGATAGTTTTCTTTTGTATCTCCAGCCTCATAGTGTACCCTCATATGCTATTGGAGAACTTCACTGCTGCTGTCCCTGGTCACCGCTGCTGGGTCCACATCCTCGACAATGACACTGTCTCTGTTAATGGCACTGGGATCCTCAGCCAAGATGCTGTCCTCAGAATCTCCATCCCATTGGATTCAAATCTGAGGCCAGAGAAGTGTCATCGCTTCCTCCACCCCCAATGGCATCTCCTTCACCTGAATGGGACCTTCCCTAATATGAGTGAGCTGGACACGGAGGCCTGTGTGAATGGCTGGGTGTATGACCAAAGCTCCTTCTCTTCCACCATCGTGACTGAGGTAAGAGACCCCATGTAAGTCCTGTGAGCTCAGAGTGTGGGTATTTAGAGGTAGAAAAAATAATGAAAGTGCTTCAAGACTTTAGCCGCTACGTAAGTGCTGATTCTTCACTCTTTCAGCAAATATTATTTACTTCTCTCTTAAATGCTAGCCACTTACATAAATAATAATACTAATGAATTCAAAACTAGACTTTCACCCTGCTATCATATGCTTTAATTCTTGGAAAGACAAAATTTTAAGCAAGTAATTTTCTGTAATGTGTTAAAAATGTTATGCTAGGTCCGTATTGCTTACCATTTGGTTGGAAATTATAAGTATTTGGGAGATCGATGAAAACCTCAATGCTCAGATTCTAACCCAGACCAGTCAAACAAGGTCTATGATGAAATTCAACCATGAATAAAATTTGAAAACTAGAATAATTGCACCCTGTGGCCAATGTTGAGAACAAGTTAGCATGGAGTAAAACAGGGCATTAATAAAACCTGCAGTTTTAGAGGAGGCTTCCAGAAACATTATGTTTAAGCTGAGATCTAAGTGAGATGGTCAGCTAATATAGAAAGGGAAGCTGGAAAGGAAGATAGGGGTCCAATATACTAAAATACACAAGTAATATTAAGGTCTTTCTACTATGGGGTTAAAAGCTGTTGTGGAGCTCTCCTTTGCAAGTTTCTTTCTCTTACAGTGGGACCTGGTATGTGAATTTCAGTTACTGAACTCAGTTTCTAAATTTTTATTCATGGCTGGAACGCTGGTGGGAAGCATCATATATGGCCATTTATCAGACAGGTGAGTATCACTGGATCACAGCTTTTTTTATTCCTAGGTATTTTCACTATTTCATGAATCATTCGTTCATTAGGAAACAAATATTGCAAATTACACTCTTCTAGAGCTGGCTTGGTCTCCACTCTTCTAGAAATACAATTGAAGTATTAATCAGTATGGTAGTGCTATTTTTATAACATTGAGCTTGGTGTACAGGACACAGTAATGACATTTCCATCAAATCTGGAACCACATCAGGACAGGATGTAGAGAGGAGGTGCTAAAACATGTAGGTTAGAAATATGAGAAAGTGTTACCCACGGGAATGAAGAAGAAAATATTTGATGGCATGAGATTCAGCCTGTTTGAAGACACAGATATGGAAAACTGCTTTGTTGGCCTTGGCCAGGGGTCCTGTGTTCAGTCCTTCATGGAGTCTGTGAGCTGAATGGTTGTGGCTTTCCAATGAATGGTCATCTTGGTCTAGTTGCCCTAGTGTGATGTGTATATGTTCCTATAAAACCTGTGTGGTATAGAGCAATGTGTACTGGTGGTGTGTGGAAAAATTATGCCAGTAACTTTAAATTTTGGTTTTGCAAAAACAGGTTTTTAAAGTTAAGATTCACAATTATGTAAAGTAATTAATCTAATCATAACTGCTGTCACAGTTTTTCATGTGAGTAGTTTGGGGTATTCTGTGCTTGATAGTACCTCTTCTGAAATCGGCCTCCTCTGAAATCATTGCCCACACCCAACCACATCTCTCCTAAGGGAGGTGGAACACACGAGGTGCCCTTACCCTTCACCAGCATAATATTAACTGTTATCTCAGCTGAGAAATGTTAACACTAAATATATCGCAGTAAATGTAACATATAAATGAGTTCAGAGACAGAGTGTTTATTTTCAGCAGTCCAGTAACCCAGTCTTCTGTGAAACTATCATGAGAAATTATAGATATATCAATTTTTATAGAATGCAGCATAGTAGAGGTGTGAGGTGGAAGGGGCCTGTAGCAGATTACAGTGGAGATCTAGCTTAAATGGAGGGAGCAAGATAATCTAAGCAATTTTAAGTTCATTAGAAAGCTAAGAGGAAAAACAAAAATATTATATGCAGGAGAAGGGCATGAAAAAATTTATACTTTTAAAATAAAACTCTCAACTACTTATAATTTCCAAATACTGGAAATAATCCAGAAGTCTATCAATAATAGAATAAGATGCAGGATATTCATATAATGAATTCTTTTTATTTATTTATTTATTTATTTGTTTTATCAGAAATGGCCTTTACTATCTTGAGATACTTTCCTTCTATAACCATTTTATTGAGAGTTTTTATCATAAATGGATGTTGGATCTTGTTACATGCTTTGTCTGCAATTATTGAGATGAGCATGTGGTATATTTTCCTCATTTTGTTAATGTGGTAATTGACTGATTTGAGGGTGTTGAGCTATCCTGTGTCCCAAGTATAAATCCCACTCAATCATGGTCTATGATCCTTTCAATGTATTGCTGTATATGGTTTACCAATATTTTGTAGAGGATTTTCGCATCTGTGTTCATGAGCAATGTTGGCCCGTAATTTTTCTTCTTTGTGTTGTCCTTGTCTGGTTTTGGTATCAGAGTGATATTGGCCTCATAGAATGAGTAAGGAAGCATTCAGTGTTCTTCAAGTCTTTGGAGTAGTTTGAAAGGATAGGTATTAACTCTTTGAATGATTGGTAGAATTCTCCAGACAAGCCATCCGGTCCTGGGCTTCTATATTTTTGATTACTCTTTCAGTCTCTACTTGTGATTGGTCTATTCAGAGTCTCTATTTCTTCTTGATGCAGTTTTGGGAGGTTGTATGATTCTAAGAATTATCCATTTCTTCTAGGTTATCCAATTTATTAGCATATCATTTTTCATAGTATTCTCTCATAATCCTTTGCGTTTCTATGACACCCATTGTAATTTCTCTTCTTTCATTTCTAATTTTATTATTTGAGCCTTTTCTCTTTTTTCCTTAGTGAGTCTGGCTAAGGGTTTGCCAATTTTGTTAATCTTCTCAAAGAACCGGCTCTTAGGTTCATTGATCCTTTCTGTTGGTTTTTTTTTTTTTTTTTTGGTCTCTGTTTCATTTCTTTCTGCTATAATTCTTGTTATTTACCTCCTTCTGCTGACTTTGGGCTTTGTTTGTTCTTCCTTTTTTCTAGTTTTGTTAGGTGTAGTTTAAGATTACTTACGTGAGATTGATTTTTCTTGTTTGTTGAGGTATTGCTATGAATTTACCTCTTAGAACCTCTTTTGCTACATCCTATAAGAGTTAGTACAATGTATTTCCATTTTCATTTGTCTCCAAGTATTTTTTATTTTCTCCTTTGATTCTTTCATTGATCCAATGGTTGCTCAGTTGTTTAGTATCCACATATTTCTGAGTTTCCAGATTTTTCTTGCACTTGATTTCTAGTTTCAAACCATTGTGGTCAGAAAAGATGCTTGATATGATTTCAATCTTCTTAAATTTATTAAGGCTTGCCTTGTTTCCCAACATATGGTCTATCTTTGAAGATGATCCATGTGCACTTGAGGAGAATGTGTATTCTGCTGTTTTTGAATGGCATGCTCTCTCTATATCTCTTAAGTCCATCTGCTCAAGTGTTTCATTTTAATCCACTATTTCATTATTGACTCTGTCTGGATGATCTATCCATTGCTATAAATGGGGTATTCAGGTCCCCTACTATTATTGTGTTGCGGTCAATTTCTCCCTTTAGGTCTGTTAATAGTTGCTCTGTACACCTTGGTGCTCCTGTATTAGGTGGACATATATTCGTAAGAGTTATGTCCTCTTGGTGGAATTTCCATTTTATCATTATATATTGCACCTCTTTGGCTCTCATTATCTTTTTTATCTTGAAGTCTGCTTTGTCCAATATAAGTAGGGCAATACCTTCTTTCTTTTGTTTTCCATTTACTTGGAGTATCATCTTTCATCCCTTCACTGTGAGGCTGTGCTTGTTTTTAGAGCTGAGGTCTGTTTTCTGGAGGCATAATGTTTGGTCTTGACTTTTAATCCCTCCATCTCCTCTGTGTCTTTTGATTGGAGAATTCAATCCATTTACGTTTATGGTGACTACTGATATTTGAGGGCTTAATACTGCCATTTTGTCTCTTGTTTTCTGCTGGTTCTATATTTTCTTTGTTTCTCTTCTCTTGAATTTCTGACTGCCACTTCAGTTTGCTTGTTTGTTGTGATGGTTTTTTCAGTATTCATTTTATGATTTGTGACTCGGCTCTGGCTTTTTTGTTTAATGGTTACCATGAAGTTTGTATACAAGATCTCTCCTATGAGATAGTCCATTTTCTGATATCCTCTTATCACCATTAACCTAAGCATTCCATCCCATTCTCCGTCCACTTATAAGTTATTGTTGTCACAACTTATTCTATTTTGCATTGTGAGTTTGTGATTAAAATAGAGTGTTTAGAGTCATTTTTGATGCTTTCCTTCTCTTTATCTTTTATTTTGTGTTTAAGTGTTTGCCGAGTTGTTCTGATAGAGAGCTGCAATTTTCTCTATTTATACCCTGCTCAAGGCTTTGCAAACCTTTGTCTTTTTGTTTCAGGTATAAGGGCATCCTTGATCATTTATTGTAAAGGAGGTCTGGTGGTGATGAACTCTCTCAGATTTTGTTTATCTGGGGAGATTTCCTTTCTCCATCATCTCTGAAGGGTAGTTTTTCTAGATAGAGTATTCTTGGCTGAAAATTTTTATCCTTCAGTATTTTGAATTTATCATTCCAATCTCTCCTAGACTGTAAGGTATCTGTTGAGAAATCCACTGAAAGCCTGATAGGGGTTCCTTTGTAGGTTATTCTCTTCTGCCTTGCTGACCTTAATAGTTTTTCTTTGTCATTGACTTTTTCTAGTTTTACTATTATATACCTTGGTGAAGCTCTTTTTGCACAGATGTGAATAGGAATTCTATAGGTTTCATATACTTGTAAGTCCAGTTTTTTCCCCCAGGTTTGGGAAGCTCTCAACTATTACTTCTTTCAACAAGCTCTCCATTCCTTCCTCCCACACTTCTCCCTCTAGAATACCTATAATCCTTATGTTGCATTTCCTAATTGAGTCAGATATTTCTTGAAAAATTTCTTCATTTTTTTAAAGGTTTAGTTAGTTCTCTCTCCTCCTCCATCTGAAGCATTACTATATTTGTTCTCTAAATTGCTAATTCTGTCCTCCAAAATGTCAACTCTGTTTTTAAGTTTTCTAGGTTGTTTTTCATTTCATTCACTGTGTTCTTCATGCCTAGAATTTCTTTCCTTTTTTTCTTGGACTTTCAGTCTCTTTGGTGAAGAATTCTTTGTGCTCATTAGTTTTATTCCTGAGTTCATTGACTATCTTTCTGAGTTTTCCTCTAACTTGTTGAATTTATTTATGACAATCATTTTGAATTCTCTGCCATTTATATTGTAAATTTATGTGACCTCAGGATTGTTTTATGCAGGCTTGTCATTTTCCTTCTGCTCTGAAGTGTTTTTGTACTTCTTTATAGTGTTTGATGAAGTGTTCCTTTGCCAGCTCACGGTAGTATTATCAGGTCACAGATTCCACCTGCCACCTCTGGGTGGGGGCAGGAGCTGTGTTTTCAGCACCTATCACATCTATGGGAAATTGTGCCAATAGGGATCTTCTGTGTTTTCCCACTGGCTTCAGTCACTTGGCAGGTCACACACACATGCACTCTTGCTCTGGTGTAGAAATTCTGCCTTGGCCTGGGACCAGTCAAACAGATACACTAGATGGAAGTGGCACTTTCTTTCATGAATGTGGGCCTGCTCTAGATTCATGGGCAGTTTTTCTGGTCTGCTGTGCTTGGTGGGGCACCCACATGGTGGCTGAGCCATTCCACTTCCTTTGGAGCATTTCTGAGGGCTGGGATGCAACTCCTAAAGCAAAAGTGTTCTTGTGCAGACCTGCCTGCTTCCCTGTCTCCTTTTATAGTCACACAAAGGCCGCTCTGTG